GTCGGGTAGATGTCTATACAAAGAGTGGAGTGGGACATCAGGAAAAGCTCCTCATGGATTCATGTGCACACGTCTCGGAGGCCCCAGATCCCTCCATGGCAGATCCATGTGCAGAGAACTAAAGAAAGAGGCCACTTCTGTCATTCCAGTTTTAGAAGCTCCACATCAAACACGAGAGTGGCATGTGGTGGGATGATGCCAGGGTGCCCAGTGGCTCCATAGGCATAGTCTGGAGAGATCGTCAGCTTAGCTCTCTGACCCACACTCATCTGGGCCACCCCTTCTTCCCAGCCTCGGATCACCTCTTGTTTGCCTAGCATAAACTTAAAAGGCTTGTTTCTGTCCCGGGAGGAATCAAATTTCTTTCCATCTTCAAGCATCCCGGTGTAGTGCACCACGCAGGTCTGGCCGCGCTTCGGGAAGGTGCGCCCGTCTTCAGGGGAGATGGTCTCCACCTGCACTCCCATGGCAGCGGCGGCGGCGGAGGAGGACGCGGGGCGGGCGGCGTGGACCCGGAGCGAACCTGGCAGCAGTTCAGCGGCTCGGCCTCGTCCCTCCTTTTATTTATTATTTTTATTTTATGTATATGAGTGTCTTGCCTACATGTAGGTAGATGCACCAGGGTCATGCAATGCCTGCGGAGGACAGAAGAGAGTGTCGCATCCCCTGAAACTGGAGTTACAGGTGGTTGTTAGCCACCATGTGGGTGTTGGGAACAGAACCTGGGTCCTCTGCAAGAGCAGCCAGTGCTTTTAACCACCGAGTCATCTCTCCAGCCCCAACTCTAACATTTCTTTTAATGCAGCTTTGATGGCAATGAATTAATTCTCTCAGTTATAATTTGCCTGATAAAAGTTCTTGTTTCTCCTCACTTTTTTCTGCTTGTGTATGTGTGTGGTGTATATGCCTATGTATATGGTCACTGTGTGTAGATGTGTGTGCACATATGTAGGCTTGGGGGTGGGGAGAAACTGACCTCAGGTGTCTTCCTCAATTGCTCTTTACCTTATGTATTCAAAAAGGTCTCTCATCTGAGCTCAGAGCTTGCTGATATGGCTAGCCTGGCTACCAAGCTTGCTCTGAGAATCCCCTTTCTCTGCCTCCTGAGCCCTGGGATTGCAACAGCCCACCCAGCATTTCATGAGTACTCAGGATCCAAGCTCCAGGCCTCATGCCTGCATGCAACTACTTTACCCACTGAACCATCATCCCAGCCTTCTCCTCTACTTTTGAAAGACACTTTTAAAAATATTTTATTATTTTTATTTTATGTGTATGAGTATATTGCCTGCATGTATGTGAGTGCACCCGTATCATGCAATGCCACAGAGGTCAGAAGAAGGCTTTGGATTCCCCCTGGAACTGGAGTTAAGGACAGTTCATAACCGCCATGTGGGTGCTGGGAATCAAACCCGGGTCCTCTGCAAGAGAAGTCAATGCTCTTAACCACCGAGCCATCTCTCCAGCCCCTTGAGAGATACTTTTGATGGACACAGGATTCTATGCTGCCAAGGTTTCTAATTTTTCTCTTTATGTTTTGCTTCCTGCAGTTTGAGTATAGTGTGTTTGTACACCAGATTAATAATTACACCAGGCAAGACCCATTGATGAATGTTTAAACTAGTGATGCAAAAGTTTAAGCAAAAATAGTTTCTTGCCAGATGTGATGGCACACACATTTAATCCCAGCACTCAGGAGGCAGAAGTAGATCTCTGTGAGTTCAAGACCAGCCTGGTCTACAAAGTGAGTTTCAGGTCAGCCAGAGCTACATAGTGAGACCCTACCTTAAAAAAAATAATGGGCTTACAGTCTCAAAGAATGGCCATCAAAATATTTTTAGGTAGTTCTGGGCTGTAGTTCAGTGGTAGAGTGCTTGCCTAGCATGGTTGATGCCCTAGATTCAATCTCCATAACTGCCAGAAAAAAATATATATATAAACATTCGGTAGTTGGAAAGAAAAAAAAAAGTAACATCACAGTGGCAAATTCTGGCAGACACCATGTTACTCGAGTGACCGAAGTTGTGAGCACTGTAGTTGAACTTCTAAACACGCTGCCTTGCACAACATACTGAGACAGGGCCTGTGTTCTTCACAATAACACATCACCACCATCTAACCATGAGAAAACATCAGATGAATAGTTAAGGGGCCTCCTGCAGAATAGGTAACCAGGGACTGAAGCAAAGGTGGCTCAGCGGTTAAAGAGCACTGGCTGTTCTTGCAGAGGACCTGGTTTGGGTTCCCAGCACCTACACGGCAGCTAACAACCACTTGTAACTCCAGTTCCAGGGGGATCTGATACCCTCTTCTGGCCTCTGTGTGCATTACACACACAGTGCACTTACATGCATACAACCAAAACACTTGTACATGTAAAATTTTTTAAAAATTAAAATTCAGAATAACTGGCCAGTGCTCTTCTGGGAGCACAAGGGAGGGCACAGAGAAGATATGACAACAAAAGCACTTCGTGTTGGACCCTAGAACTAACGCAATTTGGGATCATAGGTTGGACTGTGAAACATCAAAAGGACACTAAAGGAAAACCGTGAGTGAAGTCCAAAATAGTGTGTCATCTGGTTATTAGTGTTGCCACAAGCTCAAATTCTTAGTTCTGGATGGTTGTTCTGTGGTTATGCAAGATGTTCACATAAGGGGAAGTTGGGTAACGGGTATATGGGAATGCTCTGCGCTATTTTTATAGCTTGCTTATAAGTCTAAAATTATCTCAAAGTAAAAAGTTAAAGAGAAAACAAGACTTTCTGCAGCTGGCACAGTTGGCTGCACCTGGATTTGGGTGATGACTTGAGCACACATCCCTGCTGTGAGCTCAGACACAAATCCTCAGCAGATCTGGCCACTGACTCCAAGTCAAGGTTCTGTAAGGGAGGTTCAAAGGCTGATGGTGGTGGCAGCAGCCACTGGGAACTTGACAGAAATGCAAATTCTCAGGCCTCATATTCAAGGAAGGAACTAGAAGTGTTAATGCAAGTCCTGCAGGCGATCCCACAGTAGGCTAAAGTTGGGGACCTGCTGATATAAAGTACTAAAGAATCTAATTTTTGTAAATGATGTTCTGATGTAACTTTTAGGTGTGGGGAATTATACAGGCAGTGGTAGAGGGGTTGCCTGGTTGATTGGTGATGTTTTGTTTCATGTTTTTAAAATATTTTTTCTTTATTATTTTTATTTTAAGTATATGAGTTCATATTGCCTGCATGTATGTAAGTGCATCCCTGTCATGCAATGCCCATGGAGGTCAGAAGAGGGTATCAAATCCCCTAGAACTGGAGTTATGGACAGTTGTTAGCCACCATGTGGGTGCTGGGATCTGAACCCAGGTCCTCTGCAAGAGTAGTCAGTGCTCTTAACCACTGAGCCATCTCTCCAGTCCCTGTTTCATGTGTTTGTTTGTTTTTTAAGACAAGGTCTTGCTATGTAAACCAGACTGACTTCAAACTCACAATCTTTTTTTGTTTTTTTGTTTGGTTTTTGTTTTTTGGGTGGTGGTGTTGTTGTTTTGAGACAGACTATCACTATATAGCTCTGGCTAACCTGGAACTTGCTATGAAGACCTGGCTAGCCTTGAATTCAGAGATCTGCCTGCCTCTGACTCCCAAGTACTGGGATTAAAAGTGTGCACCACCATGCCCAGCTTAAACTCAGGATCTTGTCTCAGCATCCCGAGTGCTGGGATTATAGGTGTGTATGTGTGTGTGTGTGTGTGTGTGTGTGTGTGTGTGTGTGTGTGTACCACAATGCACTGTACCTTCCAACTTTTAAAATAAGGTCTTCTACCAGGTGTGGCAACATATACCCGTAATCCTACAGTCAAGAAGTGGAAGCGAGAGGGTCAGATTGCAAGTTTGAGGCCGACCTAGATTACATAAAAAAACCTGTCTCAAAAAAATTATATACACACACACACACACACACACACACACACACATTCCTGTCATCTCAGTGCTTGGGAGATGGAAGTAGGATGAGGAATATAAGGGCAGCCTCAGCTGCATAGTTTAGGGCCAGCCTAAAGTGCATGAGACCTTTTCACAAAACACACATACACACACACACAGAGGTATAAATGAATAAAGTATCCTCTTTTTTTGTTTTGCTTTGTTTGAGACAGGGTCTCCCTGTAGCTCCAGCTAGCTTTGGAACTCGCTATGTAGGCTAGGCTAGCTTTAAACTCACAGAGATCTGCCTGCCTCTGCCTCCCGAATGCTGGGATTAAAGGCATGCCTCCTCTTTTTATCATTTTTATTTTATGTGTATAAGTGTATTGCCTGCATGTATGTAAGTGCACCCATGTCACGCAATTGCTCAGAAGTCAGACTAAGGCTACTAATCCCTCTAGAACTGGAGTTATGAAAGGTTGTTAGCCGCCATGTGGGTGTTGGGAATTGAACCCGGGTCCTCTGCAAGAGCAGACAGTGCTCTTAACTGCTGAGCCACCTCTCCAGTCTCCTCTTTTAGCCATATGTTAGGAAAGCAGATGTGGTCCCTGCTTGCACAGGGCCATAGAGTTGTGATGTGGCCTGTGCTGGTACCATGGGGACTAGAACCTAGATTCCTCTCACAGGTCTATACCATTCCACCATCTCTGGGGTGGATTAGAATTTAACTCTTGTTTGAAATGTCCAGCTAAGGAGATGCAAATATAAAACACAACAGTGAGAACCAGCCTCCACCAAGCTCCTGACATCATCACTGGGTCTGAGCCTCCCTTTTGGCTTTCCAGAGCCTTCAGTCCCCTCCTCAGCAACCTTTGTCATTAAACTGACTGGGTTCACTTCAGCCTTCGGGCCCCCGCTCCTCTGCACACTGAGTCATGTTATGATTACTCATAGACAGCCTCTGCATGCTTTATTTATTTTTGTCCAAGGCTTTTTTGAAATGTTCTTGTTTAATAGCTTAGGGGTTTGTTTTTGACTCCATAAACTCTTTGAAGGTTATAACTGGGTTTTACCTCACTCCTGCTGGCCCATAGTAGGAACCAGTAATACCCTTTTATTCTGCCTTAGAAGACAGGATCTAAAGAATCCAGACAAGGTTTGAGAAGCTGTGCTTGTTATTTTTCTCAGTTATGATGTATTTTCAGACAAAACTGTGTGGAGATGGAAAAATAAAAATCTTTTTTTCTGTTGAAGAATGTACAGTTGAGCATCAGCTCTACGGGACAGAAAGAAGCCCATCCTGACACTTAGACTGTATCTTCATCAAAGCCAATGAAGTTTCTTTCTTTTACTCACTTATATTCAGTAACTGGGATCTTTCCAATTAAATTAACAAAAGAGAGATTAACAAAAGAAAACCATGCACACTGTATTCGACATAAAATTATTTAGTATTTTTTACATGGCATAGAGCCTTCATAAAGGAGAAAACCCTGGCTGACCTTGAACTCATGATCCCCCTACCTCAGTCTCTCAAGTGCTGAGATTACAGGTATGCGCCACCATGCCTAGCTCCAAGAGCTCTGTGTGCATGCACGTGTGTGTGTGCACGCACAGGTGTACAAGCACTATGGGAAGGTGGGGTGTGC